TGTGACCCTGTCTGTGTTGGGATTTGTCCTCCTGTCACAACCTGGCTGGTCTGGATCCTGTCCTGACCCTGTGTCTCCGTCTGCCTGGTCTGGCCATAGAAAGACCCCTGTGTCTGGATGCCGGTACTTCCTGTGTGATGGCTGCTGTCCTGTCCCACGGTCTGGCTGTGTATCTGGGTGTGTGACCCTGTCTGTGTCGGGATTTGTCCCCCTGTCACAACCTGGCTAGTCTGGATCCTGACCTGACCCTGTGTCTCGGTCTGTGTGGTCTGGCCAGTGAAAGACCCCTGTGTCTGGGTGCTGGTACTTCCTGTGTGATGGCTGCTGTCCTGTCCTATGGTCTGGCTGTGTATCTGGGTGTGTGACCCTGTTTGTGTTGGGATTTGTCCTCCTGTCACAAACTGGCTGGTCTGGATCCTATCCTGGCCCTGTGTCTCCGTCTGCCTGGTCTGGCCAGAAGAAGACCCCTGTGTCTGGGTGCTGGTACTTCCTGTGTGATGGCTGCTGTCCTGTCCCACGGTCTGGCTGTGTATCTGGGTGTGTGACCCTGTCTGTGTTGGAATTTGTCCTCCTGTCACAACCTGGCTGGTCTGGATCCTGACCTGACCCTGTGTCTCGGTCTGCCTGATCTGGCCAGAGGAAGACCCCTGTGTCTGGGTGCCGGTACTTCCTGTCTGATGGCTGCTGTCTTGCTGCCCAGCCTGGGTGGCACCTGTCTGGGTCTGAGCTGCAGGTCCAGTCACGACCTCACCTGTCTGTTCGCTGGTCTTCAGTTGTCTCTCTGACCCTCTGTCCTCTACTTTTGGGGTCTGCTCCACATAGCCTGCTCCTTGTGTCTGCTGACTCCCCCTCTCCTGCCTCTGGGACTCAGCCTGCCTGTCATGGCTGATGACCTGTGCAGAGATGGTGTCCTGACCCTGGGTCTGAGTCCCAGTCCCGCCCTGGCCTCTGGAAGCCTGCTGGCTCTGTGCATGGCTGCTTGCCTCTTGATGTTGTCCCTGCCCATCGCTTCCCACTTCAGAGCCACTTCTCTGACATTCCCCCAGCTCTTTTGAAGACCCAGAGTGTTGGTTTCCAGATTCTCGAGAACTGCAAGCACCCCCAGGACTCTGGTTCAGGGTCTTAAAACAGGCCTGGGCAACCTTAAACACCAAAACCAGGAATTCCTTGAATTCCACAGTCCCCGTGTGGTCCTCGTCCAGCAGGCGCAGGACCTCATCCACAGTGGCTGCATCGTGGGGTCTCTGGAAACAAGATGAGGACAAGTCAGCATCCCTCCCCTCAGGGAGGTGTGGTCAGGACAGGTGGCCCAGCTGCTAGGCTTCCCAGCCCTGCAGACTAGCAGCCCACCCTCCAGCTCTGCACACATTTTGCTCTAGCAGCATTAATACTTATCTGCCTCTACCTTTTTTAGTCCTGTCTCTCTACTTCATGTGTAAGCACCTATTATTTTGTATCCTCTGTATCTGGTACAGTTTCTGGCCTTCAGGATAATTGGGTAAAGCTGTATTGAAGAATGAATGCCTGTGTTCATGGTGCAACTGTTTACAGAGGCTGGATTCTCTGTAGCAAGCCCCATGCAAAGAGAGGTTAGCAGGAACCTGACCCCATGGGAGTTCTGAGAGCTCCTCACAGAGGCTCAAATGTTTCACCAAGGTGGGAGGTGATGGCGTTCACAAGGACCATAGGCTGCTCTGAGCATGCAGAGGCAACATCCGGCTGTGCCCACAATCCCTTGTTCCCAAGGACTCCATCGTCCTGATTGCTTTAGATTCAACATAAGGCCCTGGTTCTGATTTGTTGGGTAGAGGCTCCCTCCACCTGTTAATAAGCCATGCTCCAAAATCTCACTTCTGATGTGAGCAGTGAGCTAAGTTTTTGAATGACTTCTTTGTGCAAGATACAGAACTCTGTTCCTAGTGAAGGCCTAATGGATGATCAAATTTCAGATAGGCATGAGAAGCGTTTAGTCTAGCAAGTTGAAGATACAGAAAGCAGCAATCATCTTCTTTTCTGGAACATTTCAAGTCCCTTTCTTTCTTGAGCTGTCCCTTTAGTGTCCTTTAACCTTGTCTTCAAGTTAGAATTAACTAACACCAAGAACCAGGACCAAGAACTTTGTCCTTCTCTAAGGACCAGGGCCTGTCCACACCCATGACTTTCTCTTGCTCTTTTTTCCTGCCCCAACAACTGCCCTCAGTACTGGCAGGCCTTGATTTACTTGCTGCCTCCTTGAATCCCCCAGCAAAGCTTCTGCAGCAAGGTCACTCTCTATGTCCCTCCCGGGCTCAGCCATCATACCACTATGACATCTGCAAACTCTTGCTCCAGGAGTCTCTTGAGCTCCCCTCGGGAGAGCACGGTGCAGTCGCCCTCCGTCCTGGCATAGCGCCCGAAGGCCTCAATGATCCCACTGATGTTTCTCAGTAACTGGGGCATCTTTGAGGTCAGGCTGCAAAAGACGAAAAGCCCCTGTGAGGGTCCACAGCGCTTCAGTGTTTCCTCAGAGGTCTTGTGCCTCTCCGTGTGTGCTGTTTCTGTCTCTCTGCCTGCCTTCCTCCTTCCCTGTGGTGCATTTTAGGTACGGGCAGGAGGGCACACAGTGACTGGAGGCAAGACCTAAGTGAACGTTTAAGTGCCAGCCCCGACACCTGCCTGTCATGTGAGCTGAGTCAAGCCGTTTCACCTCTCCATGCCTCCGCTTACTAATTGTGAATAAAGACCACTCTAGTACTTACTTTAGAGGGTTATCGGGAAGATTTAAAGAGATAATTCATAAAAAAGCACCTGGCAGATGCCTGGCTTAGACTAAGTGCTAGCTATTAAATGTCATTATTGTTATTATATGCATATGCACATATATAATTTGTGTAGATCTACATATGCACCACTGCTTACAAAGCATTTTTCTGTGCATCCTCTCTTGTCATCCTTGTTAGCTTACTTTTTTATAGGTGAGGAAACAGGCTCAGAAAAGTTAGATTTGCCCAAGACCACACAGCTTTAAGGGACCAAGAAATCCTTGAAGCCATTTCAACACAAATGCAATAGGTTTTCTGGAATGTTCCCTGTCGACAGGGATCATTTCCTATCACAAGGGTGCTAGGGTGTGACTGGGGATGCGGGAAGCTGCTAAGTACACTCATGGCAGACCTCTGTGTCGGCTGGGAGCCCAGCTGGGAATCCAGGGCCTAGCTCTGTCCTCTTCTGCCTCCATGTGAGGAGGTGTTCAGAAGAGGCTGAGCTGCCACCTGCTGACAGTACTGAGGAGGGGTGTCTTCTTTGGGTGTTTCGTCTTTCCATTTTCAGGGTCCAAGTTTCTCTGCATGTGACCTCTACCCTCAGCCCTGGGACCTCTCCGGAGGTGAGCTTGCACAACAGGCATGTGACATCATCAGGCCTAGAGTCCTGGTGACCTATGAGGAGCAGATCCCAACTGAGAGGAAAGAATCCACTTTCATTAACCAGGAATCTGGGGGCCTGGGTGTGGCTGAATGGGCAAAAGGCAGGGCCACTGGGAGATGCATTAAGCAGAAGCCCAGAGGGACCAAAAGTAGGAGATGGTACCAGAGATCACCCGGTGACAGCTGGAAAACCAGGGAAGGTAAAAGAGAAGACGTGGGGAGAGGGCAGACAGCTAGAGAGGCCTGAGAGGAAGGGGCCAAAGGAGACTTGGGCGCTGGAAAAAGCAAGTCAGTGTGGCTGGAAAGATTGAGAAGGTGCAGACCCAGGTGTGCTGTCTGGTGGAGCAGCAGGTCAGCGGGTGAGAGCCTTCTATAGGGAATTTAATCACACTCCTTTCTACGACCTTGTCGCCAACAATCTCAGTCTACATCAAGTACATAGCTGAGAACATTGTTCCTCAACCTAGATGAAAATATTTAATAGATATTAAAGAAGCAGACTTTTAACACTGACCCATTAATAGTCAAAATACTTCAGATTCTTAGACCTACAAACTCATCTTGCCTAAATCTATCACCCTGCGGCAGGGGAGAAGACATGTAAGCCCTTCCTCCCTGATGTGACAGGAGTTCACCATCTGGGTTGGCGGGCGTGAACTGATTCTGATCCCACAGACTCCAGGCACTGCAAAGAACCTTCCAGGACCTTGGGAGCAAGAGATCTTTGCTGATCTAGGCAGGCACAAGGGCGACTCCGTGGTTGCTGCCCACACAGCTTCCCAGCTAGAGGAGCTGCTGCCAGACCAGCCTCAGGGGAGGAAGAGAAAGCT